TTTAGGAAGATATGCAGCTATGACCATCGGCTCAAAGGCTACAATCCAAACTTATAAAGATGACATCATGTTTTGTCCTTCACTTTACAATAAAAATCATGCACCATTTTCATCATTATGGTTATCATCTTCACTATCATTCTCATCATTTTCTTTAACTAATGAGTATGCACATGCTTTGCACCACAATTCTAGATGATTATAATGATAGAAATAATTTATCCAAAATTTTCTATAAAATTCATGTATTTTTTATTTTTTATATTTTTGTTTTTCATTATTACTCAGATGTACATTGCAAAATCTGAATTTGATTACCTAAGCACCTCATATTGGGTCGCAAAGTTTTGTGTATCATACTATCATACATTGATTGGCCTACCTACTTGGTTGGACCCTTCTTTTTGTAATGTTTTATCTACTTAGTGTATTTTTTTGTTCATTTATCAAAAAAGTTATAAGATTTAAAGAGAGAGATTTAAATAAGGTGAAAATTGTAGTTCAAACTACATTTTAAACCTCACAATAAAATAGAGATTAAATTCAAAAGATTGGTATTTTAGTCAAAACAAAGTTCCACAATCTTATTCATATTTTTAACAGTAGTGTAAATATGGAGTTATAGATGTGTTCAGTTTTTCTATAATTTTTTATTTCTATATGTGTAAAAATAATACTATTATGTACATTCATTTTTTGTTTAATATGATAAATATATGATATTATACATGTGCCCAATTTTTTTTGTAAATTTTATTTTTTTATTTTTGTGTTTTTATATTTTATTATTTAATTATTACATTAAAGGTTGACAAATTTGACCCAAAAGTTGAACTATTGACCTCTGCTAAATAGGAAAATAATTTCATTTTTTGCTAGTTTTAGATTATGTATTTCATTTTCATCATAAAAAAAGTAACTCTTGTTTATTACACTTGTTTTTTAATTTAATTAATAAAAATATCATAAATGTGTTTTTTTTTTATATTTTTATAATTTTCTATACTTATTTCTATTTAAAAATTTTATTATCTAACTTTGATTTCATGGGTTGGTCAATTTGATTCAAATAGTTGAATTTCTTAGTCATTACTTGAATAAAGAATGGTTTTTTTTTTTTGAGTAAGGGTGTGTTCTGTAGTATGAATGAAAAATTGGTGGGTGTGAACTGGTCCACACCACACCACAGTTCACAACTGTGGACAAACTATGTGGACTAGTCACACCCACAGTGGCATTCTTATAGGCGTGGTGTGGACCAATCCACACCACACTTTTTTATTCCATCTATCTCATATAAATTTTATTAATGATCAACATAGTTGACCATAAATGTCTAATTTTTGCATTTTATATGATAAATAAATTGAAAAAAGGCATCGATAAATTAATTTTAATTTTAATAAAAAAGATAGTAAAATAATTAAAAATATTATTTTATTGATAAAAACATTAAAAATTTAATATTTAAATAAATGAAAAAATAATGGAGAAGGAGCACTATTGGGCTTGTGCTAGAATTAACATAAAAATTATTATTTTATTTATAAAATATTAAAAAGTTAAAATTATTATTTTAAAATTTAAAAATTAAAAAGAAAGAAAAGTATATAGAAGAGATATAGTGTATCAAAATAGAGTGTGGAAATGTTGTGGACCAGCCACATCCACGAGATATATGTGTGACTGAGATTTGGGGTTGTAGATGGGGACGGTCCACGATATATTATGGACTAGTTCCATCCGGAACCAACCGAACATCGAGGCCATCCCATGGCGTGGACCAAAATGGGCCATCCACGAGATGACCATAGTTCTAAACACCACCTAAGTTTTAAAATATATTGGTTTATATTGTTAAAAGTATTGGACATAGATCAAATTAGTAGCATTTATTAGTGAAAAATCAATGTTTTCAAGACCAAACCGAGAACCAGTCACCTAACCAATTCTGTTCCAGCCTAGAACCACTTTTTGGCCAAAAAACATTGATTTGGTCAGTGAGACGTGGACCCAGGTAGTCAACCCGTCGACCTAGAAAACGGTTTTTTATTTCTATTTTTGTCAAAACGGACCATCCATTTGGTTTGAACGATTGGATTGTTCGACTCGGGAACCAGAACCCATAATGGTTCCCTATTTGCTTCAGTTTTAAAAACCTTTGAAAAAATAACTTAAATATGGGATTTAATAAGAGAGAATGAGAATTAATACCTTAAATACAATAATTAATAAGAGGGGATTAAATGAGGTGAAAAGCATTAATTGAGATTAAATTTTCAACCTTCATAATTAGAGATGAACTAAATAATAAATATGGGCATTTTAGTCAAGAAAAATTCCACGCTCTCATTCGTTCTTTTTTATAATAGTATAGATTTAGTTAAATACCTTGGAAAATTTTATTGAAACATTTTCATATTTTTTGGTCTCAACAATCAATGAGTATCAATACACGCACATGGTTTAATAGGTATTGGATTTTAGAGTTATCATGGCACCCATGTCTATAGCATGAACACACCCATGGTTTTGATGGTGTACCAAAAACTACTCCCACAAATCAATTAACTCCCTTTAAAGTCAATCACATTCAAAAATTGGCTATTTAAAACCTAGCTATTTAAAAGATAATGATTCTCACTATTGAATTGTTTTATGACAATTTGTTCAATTAGCACGATAAGTTTTCTTATAGATCATTTACTCAAACACCTCCTATAGTTTCGTGGATTTACTAAAACCTATCCTATAGTTTGCATTCTACTAAAATACCCCTATAGTTTGCAATCAATTTACTTAGTCTCCATTAGATTATAAAGGAAAATGACAATTTTAACCCTAATGTCCATTTAAATAAATTTAATCAAAAGAAAATAAAAATGAAAATACCATATTCCACCTAGTAAGACATGCGCAACCACACCATTTAGATCTATTTGGTCAATTTTGTTTTCAGTATGAGGAAGTGTTAGGGGACTTTTGGAATAAACAATCATGGGTCCACGCCCTTGAACATTTTCCACTTGGTTTAGGTAATCATGTCACTATTTTCAGATGGCAAAACAAGCACTTCTTCGTAAAAGGTCAATTAAATAAATTGATTGCAATCTATAGGGGTGTTCTAGTAACATGAAAACTACAAGGTAGGGATAAGTGAGCCCGTAAAACTATAGGGGGTGTTATAGTAAATGACCCTTTTCTTATACTACCAAAAACTTTATATTTATAGTACAAATTGCATGATTTAGCTTTCTATAGTCTACATAGAAACCAATGCTAGTATTCTCATTATATAACATAGATATAGAATGATATGTTTTAATTTTCAGAAAGAACGGGGGTTAGGGGATGACCGGTTCAAGCACGAGGGATCAGTTGAGAGGGCGGGAATCTAGAAATGAGGGTTTTGGGCTAGTTTTGGGTTTAACGGGACAAGCTCACAACCGTCCTGTTAGCCCCACACGCGGGAATGCTGATCGCGTGTGAATGAACATGACGCTCAGTGTGTGGGGTGTTTGAGGGGCGAGAGGTGGTGGGACACAGATTTGAACTCGCCTAATTCACCTCCACATGAATTGGTTATTCATCCAAAGTCAAAATTTGTGTTTGGTACGTTTTTCTACAGGGTGATATTCTTTTTTTCTTTATCTTTAAAATTTTAGACTAATGTTTCGGGGTTTAGAATGTGAAGAGGGGTTCTATATTTGAACACAAAGACACGTCTCAAATTTATGAATCGGTTTTTATCTTGCAATATTTTGAACTGGGGTGTATTAATGCTCTTGGAACTTTTTTTAATGCTCTTGAATTATTGAACTATTGTTATATGTGCATTAATAAAATCATTTAAGTAATAAAATATAGGGCAAATTTCTTAAAATATCCTTAAGGTTGTGAAAATTGACAAACTCTACTTTTACTATTTACCTATTATCTAAAAGTATCCTTTAAGTTTTCTGACAATTACTATCACCATTAAATATTAACAAAAAAGACAAAATATCAAATTTACCCTCCATTATTTCTTAAGCTTTCAAAATAAAACCTAACAAATAAGAAAGTGATAAAAGATGAATGATATTAAGACCAGTAGCCACCCAAACCCCCAAGCTCCCGTCTCCAGCATATACACCCTCCCCTGCTTGAGCATGTTATCCCTAGGCCTCCCCTTCGGCTAAACAACACCGTCATTCCTATTGAAGTCGTCCAAATCATTTCCATTTCCATGTCGTTGAAGGTCAAAACTTCAAATTCAGGGCTGCACCACCTAGGAAGTAGAACCATTGAACGTGTTGGCTTTTTGGGAATCAACTGCAAAGGCTGACATACAAACATAGATGAGGTCAGATGTAGAGGACGACCAAGGCATTTGCCATTACCAAACCCAATAGCCCTGTCCTCTATCTAGCTCTATTGCTAATGAGGAGCTTGAGGTTGATGAACGGTCCCAACTATGGTTTTTAAAACCCGATCAGATTGGACGATTGGACCAAAAAAATCAGGAATCGGTCAGGTGACCGGTTCCATTTTACCTTAGAACTGTTATTTCTTAAAAAACCGTTGATTTGTTAAGCAAACTAATGATTCAGGCAGTCAAACCATTTGAACCGTCCAACAGTTTTGTTTTCTTTTTTTTTTTGTTAGAATGGATGTCCGTGCGGTTCGAATCCAACAATTATATTTTATTTTTTATTTATTTTTAATTTTTTTAATCCAAACCCGGTCCATTGACACCTATATTCTTATCTTATATCAATTGATCGGATATTGGCTTGATCCAACCAAATCTAATATAAATTTATTACAGATGGACCGGGTCCAATTCAATCTAATAAATATTTTGAAACGGATTGATCCAATCCACTATGTCTTTTTGATCCGTCCAAAACCGGTCCATTGACACCCTTAATTGAAGCTTCCTGTTTTGTACAATTGTGCTTTTTCTTCCATAGAGCTGTGTACCAAACTATGAATGATCTTTATTGAACTTTATAGCTTTTCAAAAACCTAGTAATAATCCAAACAAACAGGACCCTTGTATTGGTTTCCTGACTTTCCCTTCCTTTCCTACTTCTTTCAAAATCATAACGAAAATGAAAACATAAAAGTACGGAAATAGACGATAGAAGATAGTTCACGATGCACGACTGAAAGTGGTGTAGTGAGGAGTGAGGACCAATTGAGGACTAAGAACTTGTTATGTTTAGCAAGCAATATTCAGCTTTCAGATTCAAGCCAGCGTTGTCGACCACTTCCTTCTCCTTCCTTTCCCTCCCAAAACACTTGAAACACCAATCGACCTCAGTCCTATGCAAAGAACAAAAGCCCATCAACCATGGAATTCACATCCTTTCCGACCACCCAAACCCAGAAATCTCTGCCTTTCCCACAAAGGGATTCTCAGAGATTACGAGCTTGGCTACGGGGAGAGCTTTACATGCAATTTGTATCAAGGAATGCATCAACTTGAGTCTCTTCCATTCAAATACCTTAATAAATATGTATTCAAAATTCGAAAACGTTCATATTGCCCAGGCATTGTTTGATCAGATGCCTCAAAGAAATAAGGCTTCGTGGAATACCATGATCTCTGGTTATGTAAGAGTAGGCTTTTACGCAGAAGCAATTGGATTGTTCAGTGAAATGCGGGACCAAGGCATTAATCCCAATGGATATGTGATAGCCAGCTTGTTAACCGCTTGCAGCAGGTCTGTGTCGATGGTTTGTCAAGGATTCCAAATTCATGGCTTTGTTGTTAAAATGGGACTGTTATTTGATGTGTTTGTAAGCAGTGCACTTCTGCATTTTTATGGCACATATAGCTTAACCTGTAATGCCCGGATGGTTTTTGAAGAGATGCCTGAACGAAATGTAGTTTCTTGGACTTCCTTGATGGCTAGCTATTCAAACAATGGTGATCCAGAGGAGGCGGTAAAGATTTATATCAAAATGCGGCATGAAGGGGTCAGTTGCAATCAGAACTCTTTGGCAACAGTTATTAGTGCATGTGGGTTGCTCGAGGATGAATTGCTGGGACTTCAGGTTCTTGCACATGTTATAGTTTCTGGATTTGAGTCTAATGTTTCTGTTTCTAATTCTCTTATATCCTTGTTTGGTAGTGTTTTCTGTATGGAAGATGCATGCTATATTTTTTGTCAGATGAAGGAACGTGATACAATATCATGGAATTCAATGATATCATCATATTCACATAATGGGTTTTATGAGGAATCACTTAAATGTTTTGATCAGATGCGTCATGCCAATGTAAAACCAAATTCTGCTACATTTTCTAGCTTGCTTTCAGCTTCTAGTTGCGTTGATAATCTTAAGTGGGGCATGGGTATTCATGGTCTAGTTGTTAAACTCGGATTGGAATTAGTGGTTAGCATATCTAATACTCTTATTAACATGTATGCTGAGTCTGGAAAGTCTCAAGATGCAGAGCTTTTGTTTCAAGAGATGCCTGAGAGGGATTTGATTTCATGGAATTCCATGATCGCTTGCTATGCAGAGGATGGGAAGTATCAAGATGTCCTAAAACTCTTGGCAGAAATTTCAGGGACTAGAAAAATAGCAAACCATGTGACTTTTGCTAATGCATTGGTTGCATGTGCAAGTCATGAATCTCTAATCTATGGAAAGACCCTCCATGCAGTTATAATCCGTGCAGGGCTCCATGACAATTTGCTTCTGGGGAATGCATTAGTGACTGCCTACGGAAACTGTCGCACAATGAGAACGGCTAAACTGGTTTTCAAAGTAATGCCAAAGAGGGATGTAGTTACATGGAATGCACTTCTAGGGGGATATGTTGAAACCAAGGAACCGGGTGAGGCAATAAAGACCATTAACTTGATGAGAGAAGATGGAACATTTGCAGACTACATTACCATTGTGAATGTTCTTGGTTCTTGCTCTACTCCAGATGATCTATTGAAATATGGCATGCCTTTCCATGCCCATATAATTCTAAGTGGATTTGAAAGAGATGATTATGTGAAGAATTCTCTTCTGACAATGTACTCCAAGTGTGGTGATCTAGATTCAAGCAATTTCATATTTGGCAGATTGCTTAATAAAAGTATTGTATCATGGAATGTAATGATTGCTGCAAATGCCCATAATGGTCGTGGTGAAGAAGCTGTCAAACTTATTGTGGAGTTGCGGCATGCAGGAATGGAGTTTGACCAGTTCAGCTTCTCTGGAGGCTTTGCTGCTAGTGCTAGCTTGGCAACATTGGAGGAAGGCCAACAACTTCATGGTCTTGTCATTAAACTTGGTTTCGACTCAAACCTCCATGTTATAAATGCAGCAATGGATATGTATGCAAAATGTGGAGAAATGGATGATGTTCTTAAAATTCTTCCTGAACCCAGCAGCCGATCAAGAATGTCATGGAATATATTGATATCAGGGTTCGCTAGACATGGAGATTTCAAGAAAGCTAGGGAAGCTTTTCATGAAATGGTACAACTAGGACCAAACCCAGATCACGTAACCTTTGTTTCACTTCTATCTGCATGCAGCCATGGGGGTTTAGTGGATGAAGGTCTTGCATACTATTCTTTAATGTCTTCAGAATTTGGTGTCCTGCCTGGAATGGAGCATTGTGTCTGCATGGTTGACCTCCTTGGGAGATCAGGGAGATTTGATGATGCTGAAAGGTTTATAAAGGAAATGCCAGTTCCACCAAATGACCTTGTTTGGAGGAGTTTGTTGGCTTCATGTAGAACCCATGGTAATTTGGAGCTTGGGAAGATAGCTGCCAAGAATCTTCTCAAGTTGGATCCATCAGATGATTCAGCATATGTTCTTCTATCAAATGTGTGTGCAACTAGTGGGATGTGGGAAGATGTAGAGGATGTCAGAAGAACAATGAAACTAAATAACATAAAGAAGCAGCCAGCTTGCAGTTGGACTAGGTTGAAGAACAAGGTCACTTCGTTTGGGATGGGAGACCAGTCCCATCCTCAAGCTAGGCAGATATATTTGAAATTGAAGGAGCTGAAGAAGATTATCAAAGAAGCAGGTTATATTCCTGAGACAAACTTTGCATTGCATGACACAGATGAAGAACAGAAAGAGCACAATCTTTGGAACCACAGTGAGAAGCTTGCTCTTGCATTTGGCTTGATTAATACTCCAGAGAATTCAACAATCAGAATATTCAAGAACCTTCGTGTTTGTGGTGACTGCCACTCTTTTTATAAATTTGTCAGTGCAGCTGTCAGACGAAAAATTATTCTTCGAGATCCCTATCGCTTTCATCATTTTAGTGGGGGCAAGTGCTCTTGTACTGATTATTGGTAGTAAGAATATTGAGCTCAAATATTGTTCCAGAATCCATATTTATACCCTTATCAGGCAGGATAGAAGCTGCTGTCAACAAATCTCCTATTTACACAAAAGAATTTTGCCTTGAATGAAAACTCTTTATTCCCAGGTCATATCAAAAAGACAAAAAAAAGATCAATTGACGGTTTGGTAAATGTTCTCTATATTGGTGAGCTCACAAGAGTTAACATGTGCTAACACAACTGGTTGTGAGGCCCCACTAACACATTCAACTATGCAAACTGTACTGAAATCTGATTTGAAGCATTTAATCCTCTAAATCAGTTTAAAAGTGTTAATAAAGTTCAAGTTGAGTGGTTGCCTTTGTTGTATTTTCCTACGATTCCATATGCTTCTTACTTGAACAGAAACATCGAAAAGGATTATATGCTATTTGGCCTTGCAAATATTGAAGATAAGAAACTTGCAAAAAATGGTTCAAGCTATTTGGTGTATTTTTCTACAATTCAGTCTGTTACATAGAGATGGTAGTAAACTACCAACAAGAGACTTGTAACAGCCAAAAACAAAAAAAAATACAAGCGACTCGTAACAAATGAGAGAAATTATCAAACCCTAAGGCTGTGTTTGGTTTGAAGGAAAAAGTAGGGAAAGGTAGGGAAACCTTTACAAAACTTGTATAGGTTTCCCTACTTTTTCCCTCAAATCAAACATAGGGTAAATGCGAGAATGTGAGAAATCAAACCCTGTAAGATATTAAACCCTATAGTTCAATATGCTTCTTACTTTAACAGGTTTGAAGGAGCCACTTTCAAAAGGATATATGTTTCTTTGCCTCCATATGTTCCGAGTAATGTAGTCCGCTTTCTCTCATAATTCTTGGGAAAACCTATGATGCCCAAAAGACATGGTACAGGAAGAGTTTTGACCGATCAAACCTCATGCGAATTTTGATTAATTCCACCTGATTGATAAATATGTCTTTTCAGTATCACAGTCAAAGCCATAATTCTTTACTCCTAATTATGTTTGCTTTCAATGAACTTCCTGTATGGGTAAACCTCAGGGTGCGTGGTATTTAATTGAAACCCTAGGATGGATATAGATGGTATACTCTAGAAAAGTTCACTGGTCAGTTACACAAACAGAACAACTCAACTTTCAGTCCAGAGTCTACCCACTAAAACTCCACTCTCGCCTACCCACAGGGAGACCGAATCTGCTCCTCACACTTGGCGCCTCACAAGAGCCTCACACACATCCTATCATGCATTGGGAACATCTCCCGTACTTACTGGTTATTATTCATGGGAGATGTTCCCAATGCATGGTGGATGTCCCTATGAGACACCCATGTGTGAGGAGATCCCGTCACACCCACAGGCACCACAGCTGCATAATAGAAACATCTCTCCATGAATGATAACCTACAAGTATGGGAGATGTTCCTGATATGCAGCTGTGATATTCTATGGGTATCTCGGTACAGTTCTTGTGGGTGGGAGAGATGAATGTGCCAAATTTGTTTGGTATACAAAGAAAATTTTGTTTGGTATATGTTAATTATCAATTTTCTGAGAACCTGTTTGGGAGGGCTCAACTTTGATTGAGCTGTTTTGAAGAAGCTATTAAAATTAGCTTCACTAGAAAGTTGATTTCTTAGCTTGACCAATGTATATTATGGCTTATTAGGTTTTTCACTTTAACATAGGATCAAAATATTGCAATTATTGGCTGAAATCATGTTAGTGGGTTATTGATATGGGAAATTCTGGTCCTTTGGCCTTTTTAATTTATTTCAAAGGATACATAGGCCTTAGAACGACCCCCTAAGCATGTTTTTTGAACCGTCATTGACCCAAACGGTTGGACCGTTCGGCCTAAGAACTATTCAAGCAGACGGTTCCGTTTTACCCCAAACTTAGTCCCTGGCCAAAAATCGTTGAATCGGTTAATGAAACGTTGACCCGAGTGCTTTAACCGTCGACCTGTTCGACCCATTCAACATCTTTTAGCCGTTTTTAAATTTTAATTATTTTTTATTATTTTAAATTTATTTTATTAGAACGACCATCTGTTCAGACCGGACGGTTGAACCATCGACCCAGAAATCGATGGCCAAAACTGTTCTGGTTCCAGGTCGTTTTTTAAAGCATTGCCCCTAAGCAAGTTTGAAAAAAAAACAATAAATAAATAAATAAAACGTGTTGTATTTTTAGGGAATAAAACATGTTGTTGAAACAAAGTACAGATCTGCTCCTCAAAGAGCGCACCTCACTCTGACCTCACAGCATGCTTAGCCATCCATCTGGAACATCTCCATAATTATAAATTTTTATTCATGGAGAGATGTTCTAATGCATGGCTGAAACGTGTTGTGAGATCGTTATGAGGCGTGCTTTGTAAGGAGGAGATTTGAACTCATTAAAATATCCGATATGTCCCATCCAGCATACCTAAGTATATTGATATTGGGAAAATCTATGATATAGGAAAGATATGATATGGAAAAAGTTTTGACCAATCAAAATCCACCCATAAATTTTAATAAATTACACCTGATTGGCTACTACGTTTATGATTCCATTTGACTGATAAGTTTTTGATATATCATATCTTTTCCATATCATAGTTGAACCGATTGATATTTGAAACCTTAAATTATTCTAGTCTTTCTCCTCTAAGTAAGTAAACTAGTACCCACCTTGTACTTTTAGGGACTTTAGCATAATAGCCCTCCCGAACATTTTTTTTAAGGGCACAATTTGTTATTCTCGAAAATATCATCCGTTGTAGTTTAGTTGGTTAGGATACTCGGCTCTCACCCGAGAGACCCGGGTTCGAGTCCCGGCAACGGAACTAATCACCACGCTTTTAAATGTTTATAACTCTACAGTTAAAATCAGAAATCTATGATTTTGATGGGTCAAAACTCTTTTCATACCATATATCTTTCATCCATTAAATCGTGTGAATGAGGAAAATCTATGATATAAAAAATACAGGGCACGGAAGAGCTTTGACCAATCAAAGCCATACGTAAATTTTGATAAATGCAATCTGATTGGTTAACACATTTATAATAGGTTTATTGTCACAATTTTTTTTGATATGATATATTTTCAGTATCATAGTTGAACGCCTAGTTGGTTATCACTTTTGATTAGGGGTGGCAATTTTTTTACCCAACCCGCTAATCCACCCATTAATTAACGGTTTGGGTTGTAAACTTGTAATCATTTAGCCTAGATTACTAGCGGGTTGGTAACCCAATAAAGTGCTATTTAATGGGTGGGTTGGGCTGGGTCATGGTTATCCAATGGGTAACCACTATTTCTCTCTCTCTCAACACCTCAAAATGTCATTTCTCTCTCTCTCTCAACTTATTTTAATTCTGCAACTCTACTCTCTTTCTAACCTATTGATAAGGGCATATTTGTCCCTCTAGTGACAGCGCGCCATGTGAGGATGACACCTCGAAATCATGTAGGCGATGACTTGCCTTAGCCAAAATGATAGAGACCTACTCAGAACCATGTCAGATGCACCTCGCACACCCCTGAGGGTGCTTCATCACCACCTCGCCATGGTCGACCTGTAGACACCTCATCAAGATCGAGACGACTACCTTAGGACCGAGCTTGAGACCTCGACACAAACCAAGGTCTTACTGACTAGACTAAGGTCTAGGTAGCAACTTGCATAACATGGTGGTCAACCTGCCTACACCTCCACCAACTTGACAAAGACCCAGCTGGCGACCTACCTCCGTTGACCTGACAAAGACCTAGTTGGCGACTACCTCTGCCGACCTGACAAAGACCCAACCGGCAACCTACCTCCACCGACCTGACGGTGTAAGATCTCAACAGGACTAGGTCAGTGGAAGAGGTGACCTACCTCCGTGACCTGACGGAGACTCAGCTAGTGAGCTACCTCTGCTGACCTGATAGCATAAAATCTTGACAGGACTAGGTCGGCAAAAGAGGTGACTTACCTCCACCATCCTGACGAAGGCTCAGGTGGCGACCTCATCACAACCGAGCTAGGGACCTCAACATTAGAGGCAACCTCACCCGAGACCCTACCGACCTAACTGGGACCTAGTTGGCGACCTGCCTGATGTGGTGACCGATCACTTTGAAGTGAAACATCATGCCAGACTCCTACGGGATCACATTGCTCAACCATTAGACCCATCTCCCTTGCCACTCGCTTCAGAGTTAACCTATGTGGATTCCTTTTCCGATTAAGAAACTGCTCCCAAGCATGGCGGATAACTTCCTAAGGATCTTGGACATGCTATGGCCACGTCTTCCCAAAGATCTCGGGCGCGTTACGATCACAACTACTTGCTCCTATATAAGGGCATCTCCTTCAATCAGAAGAGGTATGCGCAATTTAGCTCTCACAGCTCTCTAGCTCTCTCAAAACTCTTCCCTGACTTAAGCATCAGAGTGCCCACCTCGGGTAAAGCAACCCTGACACTCTAATCTCCTTCTTTGCAACTTAGCTAAGCGACCTACTTAGTTCAATGTCCGAGTTGTCTACCAGCAAGGAGCACCAAATCATGCACCATCAATTGGCACCATCTGTGGGAACACTTTACACAAAAGCTAAGGGTCCATTTGGTTTGTAGGAATAGGGGTTTGGAATCAGAATCGAAATGGGCTATTTTGATTCCAACTGTTTGGTTGGGCGGAATTGGAATCCCATTCCCATTCCTGTTGGAATGGCATTCCCACATTTGAGGGAATGGCCATTCCTTGCCCCTCCCTTGGGAATGAAATCCCATTCCTACTGATTTTAATTCCCATTCCCATTCCTATCAGAACCAAACAGACTATGGGAATGGACCATTCCTATTCCGATTCCAGAGGATTTTGATTCTGATTCAAACTATGAACCAAACGGACCCTAAGTTCTCACCTGTTCTTTGACCCTCAAGTAATGGCATCCTCAAGCAACAACAACAACAACACCTGGATCGAAGGAACTCCCGTAGGGGGCAGAATTAGAATGATTAGCCAGAACAAATTCCAGGGGTCTCACCTGAACAAAATATCCCAACTCTGATTGTGATGCTACCCCCGCAGGTTGAGCCCTCCATTCTCCCTGCGAGAGTTGACGACCAACAGACAATGGAGCTGCCCTTGCAGGTCAGCCCTGTCGAGGTGCTAAGAGTGAACTGGCCTGTTAAAATTTCGGTGACGTAACTAAGACTCACTTTAGCGACTTGGATGAGCCAACTCGTAATACACTTACTTTGGAGAAAATCTACAAATGGGAAGCCAAACCACATTTAGCATTAAGGCTCCCTCAAGCCGACCTATTCGAAACACAACGACAACAAATGACTGACCCGCGCTTAGTGCACCTCATCTCGCTCAAACATGCAACATCATCCCCATCCTCGTCGACAACACCCTTGTTGGCATCATTCTCGTTGCCCTCTCCGTTATCCTCCACTTCAGTTTTGGGCTCTGCATTGACCTTCTCGGCCACCTCCTCGAGGACCAGCTTGAGGGACACCACGTAGAAGTCTGTGAGTGGAGCGACCTAAGGAAGCATGGCACAATTTGAAGCCCTTCTTGAGGGCAAGTACGACTAACTCCGCTCTTGAAGTACTTGGGTGAATGACGAAACTCCTCGATGGCTACATCCCTAGCTTGGGAGATGTCCTCGGAGTGCCCCCTACACCTCTTCTCATGTTGATGAGTTCGCTCATGCACCCGGTGGTCAAGATGGCGATGATCTACCTATTGCTACATTTAGCCCTTAGACTCTTCTTGCTTAGGCGAGCAAATTGGGTTGGCACAAAAAAAAGAGAGAAAAAAAAGCCAGTTGAACTGTCACTTTGGGCCAGAGATGTGCAACGATCTACTGTCGTGATGACCTCAACTCGAGAGTGGGGAACAATTGATAGGGCAAATTTGGCCCTCTAGTGATAGTGCCCCATATGGCAATCCTAGAATCGTCACATGACACCTCAACACCATGTAGGCGATGGTTTGCCTTAGCCAAAATGACAGAGACCTACTCGGAACCACGTTGGATGCACCCCGCACACCTTGAGGGCACTTCGTCACCACCTCACCATGGCTGACCTGTAGACATTTCGTCAAGGTCAAGACAACCACCTTAGGGCTGAGCTTGAGACCTTGGCACGAAGGGAGACCTCCCGCCGAGGTCTCATCGACCAAACTAAGGTCCAGGTAGCAACCTGCATGACGTGGTGGTCGACCTACCTCCGCTGACTTGATAGAGACCTAGCTGACGACCTACCTCTGCTGACCTGACAATGTAAGATCTTGACAGAACTAGGTCGGTGAAAGAGGCAACCTACCTCCGCCAACCTGATAGCGTAAAATCCCGATAGGACTAGGTCGGTAGAAGAGGTAACTTACCTCCACTGACCTAATGAAGACTTAGGTGGCGACTTCATCATGATTGAGCTAGGGACCTCGACATTAGGGGCGACCTCCCTTGAGACCCTACCGACCTGATTAGGACCCAGTTGCCAACCTGCCTGACATGGCGACCAGTCACTTTGAAGAGAAACATCGTGCCCACTCCTATGGGATCACGTCACTCAATCGTTAGACCTGTCTCCTGCGCCGCCTGCTTTAGAGTTAATTTATGTGGATTCCTTTTCCGATTGAGAAACTGCTCCCAAGAATGCAAACAACTTTCTAAGGAACTTGGACGTGCTATGGCCGCGTCCTCCCAGAGATCTCAAACGTGTTATGGTCACAACTACATGCACCTATATAAAGGTGTCTCCTTCAATCATAAGAGGTGCGCGCAATTAATTTAGCTTTCATAGCTCTCTAGCTCTCTCAAAACCCTTCACTGACTTAAGCATCGGAGTGATCACCCTGAGTAAAGAAACCCGAACACTTTGATCTCTTTCTTTGCAGCTTAGCTAGGTGACCTACTTAGTTCGGTGTTCGAGCTATCTACCAGCAAGTAGCACCAGATCACTCACCATCGCCTATAATCAAGTCTTTTTATTTTTGTTCAGCACCAACTCCTCTCTTACTAATCAATCCCATCCGAACATAAAAAAAGAATTAAAAACAACAATTGGAGCATTTGAAAATGAACAAATTTTCATTCTTCCTCTTCTTATATTTTTATTATTTTTCACGTGACTTATACAAAAAGTAAAGGTGTAAATTGGGCCATGTCAAGCCAACACAACACGACTTTGCCGGCTGCTAGTGTTTAGCGGGCCTATGTCGGTTGTGCCTGCCTCCTTTGCGATCCTTAAGAGATCAGGCCTAACATGGCCCATGGCACGAGCCCATGCAAGCTTGGGCCAGGCTTTAGGTTAAGCCATAAGAGGAATATTTTTTAAATAATTAAAAAATAGTGAAATTTTTTTAAATAAATTAACAAAATAGACAAAAAATTTGAAAACAAATTAAAATTTTATTTTATATGAATTTTGATGTATACAATTGTTTATATATGAAATAATAAAATGAAATTAAAAAAATTACAATACAATTGGAACAAAATAATATAATAAAAAGTTAAAAAAAATTATATATTAATATGTTATATAATTATTATTACATATACATATATGTATATAATTATATAATTATTATATATAATAATATAAATATAAATATATGCATGGGTTGTGTCGGACCATGTTGTAGGTCGAGTTGTGGGCCCGTGGCAGCACAACCCGCTTTGTCATGTCATGCCATGCAAGCCTGTGTGCTTGAAAATCGAAGCCCAACACGGCCTAGAGTTATGGGTTAGGCTGCAACATGGCCTGTGTGCTACAGTAATGGGTCGAGCCCGACATAACTCGATTTACACCTCTATGCAAGAATCTTCATCAATTGGTGTTGAACAGACCTGTTCATGGGTTGCGTTTTGTCAGGTTTGGATCGAGTTTTGCCTCTTTATTAACAAAAAATATTTAGGCCCAAGTTCAAGCCTGACCCTTTTATAAAGCCTAAAGCCCAAAGCCCAGTTTGAACATAAAAACTCTTACCTATGGTGTAATTTTTGTTATTTTTATTTTCTATGTTTGTTTAAAATCTTTGTTATATTTTCCTATAATTTTTGTCATTTTTCATTTTCTATATTTATTTATAACTTTTGTTGTATTTTCTATAATACACACACACACACACACACACATATATATATATATATATATATATATATATATATGTTGGGTTGGGTTATTTAGGATTAGTGGGTCAGATGGGTTGGGTTGAAGAATAACCCAAACTGAACCCAACTCAACCCGTCTAATTGCCACCCCTACTTTTGATACGGATTGATTGGTTACAAGTTTTTAGTATCATGCTTTCCGGTATCATAATCGAACCTTTATTCTTATTGCTTGCATGAGTATTACACATAGCGGCAATAAGACAACCTCTCTCACAGGGGTTTAAAATTAAACCTTTTTCTTTTCCTTGGCTATACAACCCTAGCAGCGGGATTTAATATGGGGTTTAAACTAATTGAGTATTCAATTAGTTTGTCACTTTGGCTTATCATTCCCAAGCCCAAATGAAAAAGAAGGGCTGTTTTAGGTTGGCATTTTTGCCAAACTTTTATGTTTATGAATCCTGAATAATAAAATAAGATTCATGTAATCAAACCCATATAGTTCGTTTCAATAAATATCTTAAAACTCCCATTACACCATTACAAGGTGTAGAAATATAAATTAATTCAACCTAATTTCAGAAATAGGTTAAATTTGGTAGTTAACTTGAGGAAAATAGTACCTGAATAATTGTTAAAGAGACCGGTGATGTCTCAATACCTATGGTATGGTTTTATCATTTTTTTTTTTTGAAAATATGATATGGTTTTATCGAAAGCGAAGAATGATCGACTTTAATGATACCAAGTTTAAACCTTATCTTGGTAGAAATTAAAATTCTCTTATAGGGAAGTGAACATGGATCTAAGCAACTGGTTCCCTTTCACCGTCTTTGGCAAAAAACTGTTGACTTGGTCAGTGACCTGTTGACCCAGGTGATCGAACCATCAACCCACTTGGCCCAGATAACGGTTTTGGCTGTTTGGAACAGGCCATCCATTCAAATTTTGAACCAGACAGTCAATCGGTTTTTAAAACCTTGGTTGTAAATTTGTAATAACATTTGAAAGAGTCTCCATAATGGAGGCCATTCTTGGTGCTAAACTGCTAATGAGACCTCCATGGGTTCCAAGCTCCAAGGTCATTGATGACATGAAAACAAATGATTGCTCAAGATTTTGAGAGCTATCCCTTGTCCTTGGCTTGCGTTATATCAATGAAAATTGATTCAATCTTGACATGAATGGAAATCAAGCAATAAATACACACTTATAATACTTATACAGAGAAATATGGACAACAGATCTCAGATCTCGTGTTCACTTTCAACCCAGGCACTAGAATGGGTCATGAAGAAAGAACCTCACACGCATGCATACACAAAATGCATAGATCTGCCACAGTTTTTCCTCAAACACCAAAAGAATTCTGAGGGTATCTTTAGACGAGGAAACACGGTGGAGTAGTTTGATTTCTCATATTCTACAGTTGGCAGCTGGAGATGGAATAATTGCAAATTTAAGTATCTTTCAAGGAAGATGAGGGGGCACTGTATCAAGCAAAAACAATTACACTGAAAAGAGACTCACCGCAGTAAACAAACTGGTTGAGATCCAGTGTCACTCGGCCTTGCTTAGCTGTATCAAATGAATTAAACAGATTCCTACAATGTGACAGAAAGAAGATAACCAGTCTATAAGACGGCAATATTTAAAAAGTTAGCATATATTTCTCTCTCCATCAGCAAGTTTTACATGATCCAAGCAATCTATTGCATTAGCCCCAGTAATTGTAGGATAAACTGCACAAAGGGCTACAGAAAGCATAATGGTGAAAGTGCAAGGGAAGTTTTTCCTGCAATGCATCAAATACCTAGGATAGGTGCTTCTAGATATCAACCTGATCATGTAATCCCAATGCTCCAGATTAATTCAATTCCTTTTGGAAGGCCAGAAGTGTGGTAAAGAGGGAAAAACAATTCAATCATCAGATCATAGTACCATGTATACATACCTGGTATATTGAATGCTTTAATTTCTATGAGCAAGCATTATTCAATAGTAAGAAATATGCACATGCTAACTTATTGAACTTTCTAAATTCCTACATTTCTAAAATGCTAAAATGCATGGAAGGGGGGTGTATTTATTTGACAAGTTGACTTGGACCTTGGACAGTAGGACCCTCTTCAATGCGGCTTTAATTGCTTGAATAAGAGCCCATTTGGGAGGGCTTCAGCCTTGATTGAGCTGTGTTGACTGAGCCATATTGAAGAAGCTACTGAAACTAGATTTACCAGAGAGTTGATTTAATAGCTCAGTTAAAGCATATTGTGGCTTTCCAGATTTTTCACCAAACATAACTTCTAGGCATTCTGTTTAGGTCCTGCCTTGCATAGCCAGAAGCCGCTGTGTGAAAGCCCTCCCAAATGGGCACTAAATCTAGAAAGAAAAAGGAAAACGCATTTTCAGTTATATGGGTCATCTTAACAATACATACCGGGCAGACTGTAAGAATATACAAAGTGCTATAAAATCATCTAGCCGGAATCTTCCATTCTTCTTCTGATCGAAGCTCTGAAAATGACATGGAAAAATAACATTTTAACTCAAGACCTTCCTGATCTAAATGTTGCAATTAAAGTTACTCCTGCACCCTTGGAGCAAGATGGATGAACCATGTTGACAACACAAGATCATAAACATGCCACACAAAACCCAAATGACCAAATATGGTAAATGAATTCATTTTTCCCCTTTCATTACCAAATACAAACATCAAAAACAATGTTTGATAAATATAAAGTTATCCACCAGTAAATGGTTTTTGACAATCCATGAAACATGTCTTCAATTTTTATTTTTTATCTTCCTATTAAATTAAGTTTTAAACATAGGATCTTTCCTGAGCAATTCAAAATGTGAAATACCTTGAGTTTTAGTTATGAGAATAACTTTGTCAAGTTAACGGTGAATGTAAAGAATGAACAACTTTATGCATATTGCTTCGTAAAAATAATTTCTACATTCAGTAGATCAAAAATACTAGTCTACCACTACCAAAAAAACTACTATACCTCACAGACTGTATAGAAAGCAGGAGAGTCAAGGGAAAACCCAACCTTCATCAAAGCCTGCAACAATGATGAAACAGGTAAAAGAAGGCAAGATTATATATCTTCAAGTTATGGCATAGTTTTCATTTTTATATTTATGTCCATGATAAAATGTCATTAATAATAAGAGAAAAGATCTGTAAGGAAATATTACAGTTTAACCTGGATTACTTTACAACATAATCCCTCTACGCACAATAGCACCCCAGCTAAAGACAGTGACCCTCTTATAAATACTAAATCCCAGCAAGAGCCCAATCAATAGAAAGACTACTACCATTGCACAGTGCCTGTAAAACTCCTTTTCTTAACCTTCCCAGTATTGTTTAGGAAGCAAGGGACAAGAAGTAAGGAAGATATATTTTCATTTGTTCTCAGATTCCAAATGTAAAGTGTTGAGATGGTAATACCAGGCAAGCACCTAGGCACCTTGCTAAGCAGCCAGGTCCAAAGCGTACAATCATTTATTTCTTTCTACAAGAATATTTACTTCTAATTGACTAATGGAATCAAGAATTATTTGTGTGACCATAAAATCTACAAGAGTAACAGGATGTAAAAGCACTTTCCCAGGGAACAACAAGGAAGAAAGATTCAAAGTTGAGCAGGGATGCCTAGAACATGGAACACAATCTCATTTGTTCATCCAAAAGAGTTTCTTACATGAGGCCAATTTATGTTTACAAGCCTTAAATATTTATTTAAACTACACAAGGTAGTTTATCAAATGATACCTCATAAACATCATCACGAACAAGAAATCCACGACCCCTGTAATAAAGAATAAAAATAACAAGGATGCAATTAGGCATAACTGTGTGAAAACCATGGAATTTCAGGCTTGCTAACTTTATAATTACCAAAATCAGAGAATGGGCCAAAAATTAAGTAATTGATGTAACCTCAAGTCTACCTGACTACCTAAAGCAGAAACCAAACAGTCCAAAACTGTAAATTTTTTAGTGTTTTATGTATTTTTGCATTTTAGACCACAGGGGCATTTTGGTCATTTTACAAGTCTATCTGGTGGGGATCTTAAAGTGGTTCAGAAGTTATTGGGCATTCTTATCATGGTATCAATTCTGTAATTTTTTTCTTAGTTCTAGTGGGATTGGGCACCTTTATAGTATTTGTGTGCATGTGCTTCAAGTTAAAAACATGGTGAACAATATATAAAAATCAAGTGATTTTTTCTGCATATTATGCTTATAATTGATCTAGGTACATTTTATTTGAATTTACATCAAATATCAACATTTTCCTATTATGGTAGTTTTTTTCTGTGCCAAACCACCTCTGATGTCTCTCATATTTGTTTCCCCATAAGTTTTAATCACCTTTTATCCTGCCATTTTTTTCATTGATAACCTATAATTTTAATAATTGAAGAAAAAAATATAATTACAATGTGCCTAGCACCCCAAAATATCATTTGATTACATCAGTAAAATGCAATGTAAAATGCTAGTTTTGGATCATTAGATTACATCAATTGGTCATCCAAAGAAGAAACATAGTATGTGTTTGGTTCCATGGGCGTTTATGGATAGGCCATTTATTTGTACTTTTTCACTTTAAACATTTATTTATACCTTTTCACTTAAAACATTTTTTACTTTAAACGTTTCCTTTTTTGTTGTTTGGTTGGGCTTCACTTTAAACGTTTTTTACTCTCCACCTTAGATTAATACCCATTAAAGTGTGCCACATCAGCATTTGGTTTCAAGAAACGCTGGGACGTTGGGGGAAACAAGAATTTGACATTTCCCCAAATGCCCCATGCACAAAAATCAAAGCGTTTCAGTTTTCTACCATTTATTTGATAAACGGTGAAACCAAACAGTTGTTTCATTTTTCTTCATCTGCAATAAACACCAACACCTATGTGGCGCTGATGTGGTGGCGTTTTTTCAATAAATGCCCACGGAACCAAACACAGCCATAGTAACAAGTAGCATATGTTGTTGTGCATACATCCATGTTTTGCCTAATCAAAAAAAGTAATACATCTCAAGTATAAATAAATACAACAAGTACACAATTATTTATGCTATTATCAGATTTCTAATTTATTATTATTGTTAAGAATTTTTCTTTACATATTATTATTATTTTTAGTCATATTATTATCATTTCAAAAAACATTTTAAGGGTTACATCTTACATTAGCAATGTATTCTAACTTTCTAAGGGCACATGCTTATGTGAAATCAATACGATATACATGGTTTCATTTCAAGATACTTGATGTCATGTATTGCTACATAAACCCTTCTTGACATCCAAAAGACTCAATCTGCATTGATTGCACCTAAATTGTGCCCTTAAGCCAAGCACTAATGCAACCATTCTTTTTATTCCTAAGAATGTTCATGCTTAAGAGATTATTGTTTTACCTTTTTAGTTCATTTAAGGAATACAAGTCAGAACCCGTGCGATGCATGGGCTTTATTTATAAGCACAATTGAAGATGGAGCTCTATGACATTTCCAAGTAAGTGGTGTTCATCTAAATTCAATTCAAGTATTACTTTTTGGGGTTATGTCTAGTTTGTCCAATCACATTTTAAGTTGCACTTTAGTGAGAGTGGCCAATTTCCTATTCTCTAGATAAATTTGTATTTTTTTTGTATCTTAATGCTAATTTTTATTATTTTTTAAAAAGATTTTTTTATTAATTTTTATTAGTTTATTATTATTTTTTGTATTATTTATAGGTAAAATTATTAAAAAAAAATCCTCTTAAAACAGTTCTATGAACCACCTTTGTGTTTTTACCCCTAACCAAGTTCTCTCCAATAGTTTTGAGAAAAAAAGTGCAAATACATCCTTTCCCTTGGCTTTTCGGTAACAAAGACATTGAAGTCTTATCATTGTTAATGCATTATCAAACATAATTTAAAGTTTCAACCTTATCCTTCATTAATTTATTTTTCCAGATAACTTTCAAAGAATAATTCTCCTTACTCTTCTTGGACAAAATAAGGTAAAAAGGCTGAAGTGAAACATCCTCTTAAAACAGTTCTATGAACCACCTTTGTGTTTTTACCTCTAACCATGTTCTCTCCAATAGTTTTGAGAAAAAAAGTGCAAATACATCCTTTCCCTTGGCTTTTCGGTAACAAAGGCATTGAAGTCTTATCATTGTTAATGCATTATCAAACATAATTTAAAGTTTCAACCTTATCCTTCATTAATTTATTTTTTCCAGATAACTTTCAAAGAATAATTCTCCTTACTCTTCTTGGACAAAATAAGGTAAAAAGGCTGAAGTGAAGTAAAATTAATGCATTACGTCAACATTTTTTATTTGGAATGCTGACAAAAGGTATTTGCAACTTTTTTTCAAAACAATAGGAGAGGTTTTGTTAAGGTCAAAACACTGGGGAGTTTCATAGGATTGTTAGAAAACCCAAGGAAGTTTTTATAATTTTCCTTATTTTTAAATGGAATTTAAATTGATTTTTAAATAATTAAAACTATATTTAAAACTAATATTTTTATTAATTTTTAATATAAGTAAAAATTGAATTTATTTAAGTATATTAAGTTTTAATTAAATTTAAATTCCTTATGAAATTTATATAAATTTTTATTTTTCACTAGAACTTAAGTTGGTTTTAAATTAATAAAATTCAATTATAAAACTAATAATTGTTTGATAATTTTGCACTAGTTTTATATTAATTTTAAATTGATATTAGTTTTTGATTTATCTCATTCCTTTTGTTAATTAAATTATTTTTATTATGTTAATAAAAATATTTTTATCAATAACAACAATTAATAATTATTTTTATTTTATTTAAGTAACTTACTAAATTATGTTTATTATGGTTGATCAATTTTTATTATTTTGAAATGGAATATAGATGGACTATAATTATGAATGGAAGTAGATTATTTAGCGTAATAATATATCATTGAATATCTCAATTTCAATATAATTAATCTTTACTAATAATTACAATTTAATGCAAATATAACTAATATATAAAAAATTATAGTGAAATTGAAATGAATATATATAAATAAAGTTAATGTATTTTATTCAATTTAATGGAGTAATGGAGATGAAAGAGAATTAGTGGCACGAGTTATTGAAGGAGAGAGTTAACAGCATAATTAATGAGAGATTATTAAAAGAGTTAATGGAAAAGAGGAGAGAAAGAGGGAGGGAGGGGGAGAGAGAGAGAGAAAGAGAGAGAGAGAGGGAGTTAATGGTGTATAAATGAGGAGTGTTAAAAGTCTTCAAGGTGATTGGTCACTTAAATTATTTTGTTCAATTTTAAAATTAGAAAATTCAAAAAAAAAACAGAAAAAAGATATGCGCCTTTGAGAAGAAACCAGAAAAAAAGATAAATGACTTTGAGAATAAACCACAAAGCAGAAAAGTGCACCTTGGCACATTGCATTTTAATATAAAGATATAGATATGTCTATAACTAGAAAAACTTTGAGCTAAACATTATAGAAGGATTTTTTTTGTTAAAAACATATTTATTTTCTTTTACGCATCTTAAAAGAAATGCTGCATTGACACTTCTGGAATATATTTTGTAGAATTAACACTTTTAAATTATGTAAAGAAGATTTCCCAACGTTGACAGTTTTCTTTAATATGTAAAATAACATTTTAACAAGCCATCCCATAAAAAAACTGCATTTCTTAGAAGTACTAAAAATGACAATTTTTTTTATAAATGATAGAAATTTTATTAGAGCAGAAATAAATATCACATGATTACAGAGTACATCCAGCAGAGGCGCGAGATGCAGCCCCAGCCAGAAAGCAGATTACAACTGAGCCCAGAATAATTCAGACTTATGCACCCCCTGTTTTGCAAAAAACCCAGCCATCCCGTTAGCTGAACGCCTTTCCCATTTAATTGAAATTGTCATATCTCTGACCAGCCACTTAAATCTTTTCATATATTCTTTGTATTTCAAATTACAGTTTCAGGTTCCTTCAACCACCCTATTACCAGTTTAGAGTCACCTTCAACTAACACTCTGTCATAATTTAATTCTCTAGCAATCTGTATTCCTTGTAAGACAGCTTGGAACTCTGCAAAAACTGAGTCCCCTACTCTAACTGGACCTGAAAAAAAAGCAACAACATGACCTTCAAAGTTTCTAAACCCCCCCCATACCCGCCGGGCCTGGATTCTCCCCCTACCGAGAAATGACAATTGTCTTCAAATATTTTCTCTTTCTTATTCTATAGATTTCATAGAAAAACATAAAAACATATAAGGATTTTGATTGAAACCATGTAATTTTATATTTCTAGGCAGGTTTTATTTGGATTAGAACTCCACCACTGTTAGCTTGCTTAACACTGTTAATCCCAAGCAGCATAAAAACCTTTAGCCAATCCAATATGAATATAAATTCTTAACCATTTTCTTCAATGCTAGGTTATTCTCCAGGAACATGCTTCATTGGAACCAAGGTGTAGTGATAATGAGCAAGGGTTCATGGACTTATAATTTGATGGAGCACAATGGCGGGATGGGATTTGTGTAGCTGACTCCAAATGGTTGGGATTAAGGCTGAATTCAGTTGAGTTGAATAAGATTGAATTGAACTTTATTGTGGATTAAAGCCATGGCCACCATTACTCAAAACATAAGAGACTGGTTACCAAGGACGGTAAGAAGTAAGATTTTTTTTTATCAGTAACAATGAAATTTTATTAATGATAAAAACAAGATTACAACGGGATGGAGCTAAAAAGTCTTTAACTCCAGTTACCCAAGAACTTTCTGATCTTGTAGTGATTACAAAACAGCCCAGAATAATGTGTCTCTATTTACCCCTTGCCTAGCTAGACCGTCAGCCAATGCATTTGCACTTCTCTTAATCCAATTACATTGAATTTCCATGTCCCTGGTTAACCATTTATATTTCCCCTTTTCATTGCTGTATTTCCACATCATAGCACTGTCCTCTGTTAGCCATTTCACCATCATTGCAGAATCACCTTCTATAACCACCTTTTTGAGGTATGAACTATGAAGTAAGATCAATATCATGAGTAATAAAATGGACAAGTGTATTAGTATATAAATATAGTCCATAGGTGCACAAAATGATACCATCAAACATAACAATTTTGTGATAGGAAAAGGCTCAATTTTATTTATCAATCAAAATAAAGCTTCACTTGATGGATAATACATGTAGACAGCATGAAAAGACCAGCTCAACTTTGTAAAATATAAATTGAAACTGTGATATTCAACTTCCAAGGATTCAAAAGCTCTATTTGATGGATAACTGACTCCAGAGCAGCTAGAAAGGAAGCAGGTATTAAATATACCACAGAAAAAAGAAGCAATTACCAAAAGGAATGATTTTGATCCACATTCCCTAATTTTAATAAAAAATTTAGAAGTTCCCATAGCAGTAGTTCCCATATTTCCACATTTATCCTTAAGTCATGAAATTATCTCCAAAAACAAAAAAAAAGTAACAAAATAGCACCAATTTTTGAAATAAAAGGTAGTTAATCACCTTTCTAGGTCTGAAAAAGCTTGCTGAACCTGCAAATATATTTAAAAACTGAATGGAAAGCGAGTCTAGAAAAAGGAAAGTGCATGAAATACAATACAACTATTGCCACCATTATGAGTACTAATGCAATAAGCAAAGGACTACTTAACTACATATATATCACCTAAGAATTAGAATGCTACATGATACCAAAAATAGAAGAGACCAACACCAAACTAGAAGGAATGGAAGAAGTGGAAGATGAGACTCAGTAAAATAGAATGAAACAAAGAGCAAGATAGTTGAAAATAAATTCATCCCTGTATCTAGCCAGCATCTTCAACATCATAATTAATAACATTATTTCATTTTTTATCACCATTAAAAACATTGTTTTGTTTCTGAAATCATTAGAGATTTCATGCAATCCAGTACAATTTATAGAAAGGATGCCAAAGTTTCATCTGAGATGGATATTAGCCAAGAGCTTTTCATTCTTCACCATCAACTACACTGAGCTCATCCTACAAAAATGCAAAGGGGGAAAAATGGAAATCTTCCACTTCAATGTTATCCCCCCCCCCCAAAGGAAGAATAAAAATGATGCTAACTGCATTAGAATTCTAGCTTTCTGAAAAGAACTTCAACCTTAGAGGTGATGCATCTAAGTATTTAGTCACCTGCCCTAAACTTTGACAAGGCTTATCTTGATGGATCTCAGATAAATAATTAATTCAAAAGTAGATTTCCATTTCCATCATAATTTTTTTCTTGGTCAATAATGAGGTTTCCATCATGAAATTGATAGTTAAAATATCAACTTTTAGTTTTTATTTATCAACTAGAGTATTAGTTGTTGATCTAGGAATCCAATTAATTAAATTAAAGGTTTTATTAGTAAACTAAAGACCTCCTCTCTCTAATCTAGTAGTATAGTCTCCAACAGCCATTGGACATCTGTGTCCATCAATCATCATTTATCCTACAATCAGGATTCTCACTTAATCCAGAACCTCTGATAACCCATCAACGACAATAGTCTCAAACCCTAAACCAATGATAGAAGCTTTGCTCTCACAAAATCTTCAAATTCACTGGCCTTAAGTATGCAAATATTATTCAAACATAAAAGTCTAATACTTATTGTGTTTAGCGCAGTTTGGGTTTTCAAACACCTCTGGATATTCTATTCATTAAAAGGCTCATTTAGTAAGCACTAGAGGTTTTTTAGTCACCAGATACAATGTAGGCTTCTCCCATGCCTCTTTGTAACTACTTGTCCAGAAAAAAAAAAAATAGAGGGAGGGGGGACATAGTTGGTTCAAGGTACCCCAAAAGCAAAAGAACCAACTGAATGAGCAACAGCTAGAGGTATAACCAAATCAAGAACGCCAGGATCCCAAACCAACTTGTTTCTGGAAACCCCCTCTTAGCTAGCTCATCAGCACTGGAGTTTGCCAACCTAGGCACCCATGGGAACAAGATTTTCTTTTCTTTTTTTTGGAGAATTAACTTCCACATGTCTAGCAGGGTTCCATTCAACCAGCCAATAGGGGTGTCAATTGAACCGGATTTGGTCCAATTGGATCTGGTCCAATATGAGTCCATTACAGATGGACCAAGTCTAATCCAATCCGATGAATACTTTCAACCATTTTGGAATGGTCCAATTCAATGTCTGGACCATCCAATCTGTTCAAATTGGTCCTAATTTAGATTGGTTCCAACCCAAACCTGGTCCATTGACACCTGTCTTCTTATCTTCTATCAATGGACCGGATATTGGTTCTATCCAACCCAATCCAATATAAATCCATTACGGATGAGTAGGCCCAATCCAATCTAATAACTACTTTGGACCACCAAGTCTGGACTGGTCCAATTCAATATGTCTTATTTTTTCTTTTTTGGGAAAAATTTCAATATGTCTTATTGGTCCATCCAAATTGATTTTGATTAAAACCGGTCCATTGACACTCCTACCAGCCAATCGTGATCAAAGGTAATCTACACTAATCTTTCAAAATTACTTCAATCTTCCTCTGCTATAAATCAATGACCTAAATGTCATTGTTTTCCAATAAGTTGGCAAACAAAAAGGCAAAAATAAGGATTGTTTTTTCTATGTTAATTTTTTTCCCTTTTGGCATGTAATAGTTCAATTATTTAAACATTTTCCTCATATGAGTACAAAGTCGTTTCTTTGTTTAATGAAACTTCATATGTCATTTTTTCAATCCTGATATCATAAAACATAGGTTTAATACCTTGAGACTCACAACCCATGCATCAAGAGGGCACAATTTGCCTGATAAAGCACTGACTGATAAATAACAATGGAAGCATGATAAAATAAAATATAATCAAGGTCACCATCATAGCAAAACTTAAGCATTAAGTGAAATTGAAATAATTGAATGGACTAGCTTGCAATTCGTTACAGATAAATCAATTAGTTTTGATCACTTAAGTACTGGGGAAAATGATTCTAATACTGCTCAAATGAAAGGGAATTGATGCATAAGGAAAGCAATAAGAACATCTATTCCATACATACAGGTGTGTGTGTGTGTGTGTGTGTGAGAGAGAGAGAGAGAGAGAGAGAGAGAGAGAGCTCACCTTAAGAAGAAACTTGTTAAGAGCAACAAATTCTGAATGGAAGAAAAATAAGCTACACGAAGTTAGAGTAACAATCTCAAACTGTTTTCAATATAAATACTAAATACCAGAAATATACTATCTCATGCATGCTAGCTTTGCCCTCCTGCCCCCCAAACAAGAGTGTCAACTGTCAAGGATAATAGCTAGCCACTTATGCAAGATGCACCCTATAATAACTAAAAATTGTTTTTGACAATCCCTATTCAATGAATGAATGATTTTTAGTTCAGCTTGAATCCTCCTAGACAGAAGACATACAAGCAAACGAACTTTCGAAATTGGAACTATGCAGTGTTTTCATTATTTTTCAATTGTCTTTAACCACTTTTCCTTATGAATTAACAAGGACATATAATACTTCAGATTCATATCATTAAAAAAATTTAATGGACATTTTTTTACTTTTATTTTTTTATCCTTAATGGATTATGCTTTTTGATGCTAGGCTAGTACTATGATGCTTCATATAGTTTGTGTTTATGTTGGTGCCTTGAATTCTAGTTGTGAATCCAGTCCATGATCTGGCCCTACATAGTTGAGAAAAACCCTAAGGCAAAATTTCATAGTGGTCTGTGGTGGAAACAGAGGGCCTAGTCCACCACTGACCACCTTCGGGAGTGTAGGGGTGGAGCCCCCATGGTATGGACTTGCAGTGTTAAGGGAGCCATAGTTGAGTCAATTGTACTTGGGACTTGCAAGTATCTAGAATCACAGAACGGGTAGGAATTGCAAGTCATCCTGATTCAGGTGTTGTCCGTAGTCCAAACTCACAGCTCATCTAGATTTGTGAGACTCCGGACTCACAGTGGCCAATAGCCTAGAATCGTAGATTGGACTCACAGATCTCAAAATTGTAGGACTCTGGACTCGTAGTAGGGATTTCACGGGACTCACGAAACTTGTGACTTAGCAATTTTGTGGGGCGAACCCAGTTTAGGGGTTTCTCATATAAATAGCTTTGTACCTTGCACAGAAAGTTATATTGTATCCTGGGTGCCAACAAAAGAGAGTGCAAGAGTGTGTGAGGTACAGAGAGAGATTTGGGTGTATTGGAAGCTAGGGTTTGGTGAGAAGGTTGTGAACACTGGAACTGTAATCTCCATTGTTTGATAATGGATTTCTTCTCCTCTGATGCCCATGGACATAGGCTATAAGCCAAAGCACATAAATCTCTGTTTGTTCTCTTTTGTTGCTCTGTTTTACAATTTTCCCTTCCTGATTCTCCTTTTGCCAATTGCACTGCAGTCTTAAAACTTAACTATTGTTTTTATTTTTTTTGATAGATTAAAACTTAACTATTGTTCTTTGAGGGTGGTTCTTTGAGGAGTCTTGGTATACTTTTCTTGTGTTTTAATGATATCAAAGTTCCCATCGTTTTTTGGTACTCTAGTATATATGTCAATTAAACAATGGGAAAAGATCAAAGTAATTAAAATTTCATGAATGAACTTTAACCTATTAAATATAATCCATTGATCTAATAATTCGATATCAGAGAGTACATGTAAAATCTGAGCCGAATGGATGAAACCATCTAAATATTACACTTAAAACTGGAAGAAATGACAAGGAGAAAAAAAGGGCAAGTAATAAAAAAAAGAAAGAGGAAAGAAAAAAATAATAATAACGATGTTTTGATGGGAGTATTTTGTATCCTGCTGCTTCTCTGACAACCTTTCTGTTTTATGAACGAGGATGTCAGAGGATGAAGATTATATTCTCACTTGCTAAGTTTCTTTTCCTATTTAACTTATTGGTTTCTCTTCATTCTCAAAAAGATTTTGTAATGTCAAATTGCACCGCCACACGAAAAGGAAATCAGAAAAATGGAAGACAACACCGCAGTAGCAAATTTATCACACCTTCAAAGCTCATTGCCCCATTTCGATCAAAATCATACATTCTGCAAAGACGCAAAACATCAAATTACAGCTCAGTTCTACCAAAATACAAATACAGCTCAGGATTTCAGTTCGCCTTGACAATTAAAAATAGATTCACTACATGGAACACCGATCTAAACTAACAAAATAAGAAGAAACCTGAATCAGTGAGCAAAATTAGAGAGAGAGAGAGAGAGAGAGAGGGGAGGAGGAGGAGGAGGAACCTGATCATCTGCTCTACAACGGAGAGAGGGAATTCTAGGTTCCCAACTGCTAGAGCTCTCTGATCATCAAATTTCAACAAACAGCATTTCCAATCAGAAGATTATGCTAGGTTTAAAGCAAGGGATGGAAATAATACTGATGATGGAACGAAGAAAGTAGGTTGAAAAGGAGAAAAACCTTGAGCTGAGGGGCAGTGATGCTCCCTATCTTGTCAGAGTCAACCAGTTCGAACCACTCCTTCAGAATCGCCGTGCTCTCCATTTCGCGCGGAAAGAGGAGTGCACCCTTCCCCGTTGGCTGTTTGACAGTTTTATACGTAATAACGACTATTTTATTTTATTTTTTTCGCTTCAGACGTAATAACAATTATAAAACCCCCACGTTAGAAGACTTAAAATGGGTAACACGTTCAGTCCAGCCAATTTCCAAGCCAAATGTATTTGCTCGACTCCTAACATACGATAATAAAACCCCACATTTTGGGGCGGGTTTGCTTAGGCTTGATGTAGGGTGACCCAACCCAGCCCATTCCAGGATGAGAGGCCCAACCCACGAGCGGCATAGTAGGGAACGGGATCCGCAATAACAGGGGTTACCCTGCCCCTTCGTACGGAACCAACTATATTGCTATCACATGGTCTTACCAGAACAGTTGACAGCCCCGTACGACTCCCATCTCACGTGCAAGTCAAGTAGAAATAGAAGTGCCCCCCTCAAGGTAGGAGAGAGTTTTTTTACAATCAGAATCATATTATTATTGCCTTGATTGCTCTAACCTAGAGCTAGCCTCCAAGATTCTCTCTCTTCTCTCTTATAATATCCTGTACTAACTTGATCGTCGGAGACTCTGTTTGGGTTCTCACTCAGGGTTCTCTGAGGAGCTCCTGTCTTCCAATACTCGGAGACCACTCCACCTCGGCTTACACACCTCTGCCTCTACAGCATCCCCTCCGAACCTTCAAAGCCTTCGACCTACCTCCAGAGCTCAGGGATGAAATTTCCTTGTTGTCCTCGGCCATTCTGAGAAGCAACAATTGGTGCCTGATGGTGCGCAATCCGGTCACTCCTATCTGGCACTTGCGTGGCTCCTGAAAGGTACCTGAGATGGAGAAGATGAGGAATCCCCGGGGGCTTGTCCGGCGGGAACACTCCGACGCTTAAGTTAAAGTTCTATGAAAGATGCAAAGAGAGAAAGAAAGTTAAGAGTGCAGATAGCGCGGGTATCAGAAAGTTACCTCTGTCCTTTAGGATTGGGCTACTTATAACAGAACTCT